AGAGAACTATGCAAAAGCCCCAGGGTGGTGGGGCAATGCCAAGGGAAACTGCTCCTCACCGCGTCGGCGCGGGCTCCACACTTGGCCCTGTGCTGCTTCGTGCCCCTTGCAATGTGTGCGGCTGTATAGAAAAGCACCGTCCACTTACCTTGCGCCCTGGCTGATGCTATAAAGAGCCAGCCCAGGCTCAGCAGCAGCGAAAATATCTATGCAAAAGCCCCAGGGTGGTGGGGCAATGCCAAGGGAAACTGCTCCTCACCGCGTCGGCGCGGGCTCCACACTTGGCCCTGTGCTGCTTCGTGCCCCTTGCAATGTGTGCGGCTGTATAGAAAAGCACCGTCCACTTACCTTGCGCCCTGGCTGATGCTATAAAGAGCCAGCCCAGGCTCAGCAGCAGCGAAAATATCTGGGCTGGGGGGTGAGGAAGAGGGAAGCGCCGGTGCTCTGCATGGAGACGCTTTGACATCTTAGCCCAGCCTGCAAGAGACAAACTTTCATCAGCTGGGGCTGGAGACTAGCACCATCATATACAGTAACAGAGAGGAGAGAGCTGGGATTCAGGATGTGAGAGATTTCCTGCATGCAGTTAACTCCCAAACCCCTCCTGCTCCTGCATGGGTTGCTGATGAGCGGGGCTTTGCTTTTATATATTTTTTTCAAAAAAAAAAAAGTTGTTTGGGGTTTGGCTTTTTTTTGGCAAGAAAAATCTGTTGACCGTTGCAATAAATGAGCAGCCTGTCCGAGTTGGCTAGCGGGAGGCACTAAAGATCGTTGGAGAAAGAAGGCAGGCCTGCCTGTGAAATCTGCCCCGTGCCAACATTTACAGTTCTCATTACAATGGAACAAATTATTGTCCTCCTGCCTCCCCCCTCGGCGTCTCCGCGGGGTCCTACCGCCCTCCGCTTCCCTCGTGCATACGCCAACAGTTCATCTATTGAGGAGAGGTTACTCGAGCACGGGGACGTGGTCCTGAAAAAAACGACATCCCCGTTCCCAGACCTCTCCTTTAGTTCAAAGAAGGCTTCCTCCTATGGGATTAATTTTAAGTTTTGCTGGCTTTAAAATCTCCCCCTCTTTTGCTGGAGGGATTAGTACATGTGTTAAAAAGCTCTCCCTCTTATGATAAGTGATATGGGTTAAGCTTCTCCGAGCTCATGGAGGGTTGCATTGTGTATGCGTGTTAGTGATTTCTGTTGCACATAGTATGGTGGCGTCTTATTCTGGAAAGCAAGGTGATAAGAACAGATACATTCTTCATTGGTTTCGTAATTATTGTAGGTTACTGCTGATCATCTGGGCTGTTACTTTGTAATGTTTAAAAATTTAACAAACAAAATAGTTTGTCTTTTACAAAGATCCTCCTTCAAACTGTCAGCAGTTGACTAAGAAACAACAAAGAGACAGTTTTCCATGCCCATCAAACCCCGAATCCAGTACTGAAACACATACAGACAGTGATTGATGGGTCCCATGGCTTCCCAGGAAAGGGAGAAAGAAAGACCCTGTTCCTGGAAACATACATGGCTATGTCTACACTGCACTGTTTTGGCCAATAAATATGCAAATGAGGCAAAGTGTGGAATATCGCTGTGCCTCATTTGCATAATTAATGAGCAGCCACTTTTTGCGCAAGAGGCTTTTGCTTTTTCCTTATGCCCTAAAAAGGAGGTATACAGACCTTGCGGAAAATGGGGGTTTTGCGCAAAAAGAAAATGTCCACACTGCTTGTTTTTGCACAAAAATCCCAGCACAAAAACAGATCAGCAGAAAATATTCAAATGAGATCGTGACTCATGCTAATGAGTCCCTTATAAGCATATTTTTTGCAGAGAAAACTCGTAGTGCAGATGTAGCCATGAGGCTCATGGGCCTCAGACTGCACTCCCTCACAGGGCAGCTTTGGCTTTCTGCCCCGAGCCCTATTGATTCTAATGCTGGTGGACCACCTGAAACCTACTTACAGCCCCCAGAGAACATCATATGCCTGGTTGAGCACCATTGTTCTAGTGGGTTTAAAGACAGTAATTATGCCATGAAGGGCATCTTCTTCACATGGGTTTGAGAAATTTGTACAGTCTGATAAGAAATGGGATTGGACTAGTACTTTTAGTCTCCTCAGACTTAAGATATTCCCCCATCACCATAAAAAGATGTCAAAACACTTGCAGAATTCTGTTTCACTCATTTTCAGAGTTTTAATTTGCACTTCTCACCCCCATTAAAAAATTCTCTGAAGGAGTCACAGACAAGGAGAGCACTTGAAAAGTTGAGCAAGGATGTGTTTCAGATAGAATGTCACCAATTTTAATATAGTTTTGTTTTGTCCATTTTTCTTTTTTGTTCAGGTGAAATCTGGATAAATTTCAGTTGTATCTAAACCAGGGGTGGGCAATACTTTTTTATATGAAACCAGGGGTGGGCAATAATTTTTTATATGAGGGGGCACTCTACGAAGTTGGTAAATGGTCAAGGGCCACACTCTTCTATGATATTGATGGAGAAGGTGGGGGGGGTCTGGGATGGAGATTTTGTGCAGAAGTTTGGGGTAGGTGATTGGGGTGCAGAAGAAGTTGTTGAGGCTGGGAGGGAATTTGGGTGAACAAAGGCGTTGTGACTTGGGATAGTGGATTGGGATGCAGGATCAGGTGCAGGGTCTGGGAAGGTATACAGGATAGGATTCTGACCTGGAGGAGGCATTTAGGAGGGGATGTAGGATGAGATTGTGCTCTGGGGTGGGGATTCAGGTGCAGGATCTGGGATGGAGTATGGGTGCCAGGAGTAGGGTTGTATAGGGCTTGAGTTGTTACTTGGGGCAAAGGTGCAGAGGGTTGGGGTGCCAAGTGCAGGCTCTGGCCAGGAGATGTTTACCTTAGGCAGCCCCAGCTAACAGACCAGCAGAAGCCTCAGGCATGTGCCACACCTCCACATGCTGCTCAGAGCAGCTGGCTCCAGGGGCCATGTGCTCTCTCTGCACCCCTCTGCACCTGTTGCCTGTGCCACAAACACAGTCCAGGCAGCACCCATTTCCCAAAGGTCCTGCTGGGCTGTGGGATGGTAAGAAGCTGGATCCAGCACATGGGCTGTATTTTGCTTGCCCTTTATCTAAATTGTATGTCATTAGTGGATACCTTATCCCAACTTACACAGTTTGATAAACCACTTTAGGCTGGGTCTTTTATTTCCATGTATTATACAGCATGAAGCACACTAAATAAGCTAACCCAATAACAGAAAATGATTTTTGGAATTTGCAAGTTATCACAATCCAAAATAGCCAGATCTTGTCTGGCTTCCCATCCCTACTATAGAATTATTATGTAGGGTTGTTAAGATGAAGTAGTATTTGGGGAAAATATCCTAAAAACAGAAAACTTCTGAATCAATATATCCTCATCTAAGTACAACTACACTTTTCAGGTGGGTGTTAAGATTGTCCAAGTAGCTTTATATTTCTTTATGCTATGATTATTCCTGATCCCCTGGCTCTTCTTTCGTGGAGTTTTTATTGACTCTCTGATCATTTCAACCTTTTAAAAATTCAATCAGGGATATCACTGTTTTGTTTTTGTTTTTTGACGGGATGATTTATTTTATGTATCCCAATAACTTCACAATGAAGGTTAAAAACATCAATCCACATGTGTCCAAAAAGCAAAAAGTTCTTTGATAGCGCCCCAATAAGTCAGTAGAAGGTATAGCTTTTCAGTCCTTTGAAAGTTTTTTTTTCCCAAACATAGGGTACAAAAGTAAAAAGTAATGCCTTTTACACAGCTTCTCTTTATGCTCCTGTATGCTGCTGGCAATGCATTTCAATGCTGTGATGTGCATCATGCATTTAAGTACTCTCCACTTGCTCTATTTTTTGTTTTCACCATGTTGGATAGAGAGAACCACATGCGAATCCACCACATTCCCTCCAAAGTATACAAATGAGTGAACTGAGAATATGATCATGCCTGTCCATTCAGTTTATTTTAATGGAGGTTAAAGTGAATCTATTTTAATGGAGGTCTTATTTCCCAAGAAATCCAGAGTGCTCTGTTAATCACTTCTTGGATAGAGGACAGCAGCAAACTTGCAAAAACGTAGTGCATGTTGTTCTGGCCAAAGGTCTACAACAAGTTTTCCATTAAACATTAAAGCTCATTACCTTCAAACAAAACAAATCTTGGTTTCTCACTGATGACTCTCAATCAATTTTATAAAACTCAATGTATCTACCTTAGATGAAAGAAAGGATGTGGTGGTACTGTGGCAAATCAAATTGCTGTTGTTAGACTCCCTGGGTATTTCAAAGATAGGCCCTGCTGCTGCAGATTGTTCCATGTAAGCCAATGCCTGTCTAGTCATATTTTGAATTTTTTAAAATGATATTCCTTTTAAAGGCATCTGTGTTTTTTAATTCTTTGTGGTTCTTTTTCCAGTCATGTCTTCTCACACTGATTTTACTCTCTTATTCTTCCCCCCTGTCAGTTTTGGCACCCTTTGTTTCACATAAAGTACCTTTTCTTACTAGGGATGTAGTAGTGTAGTTGATTAGCTGATTAGCCAATACGCAAAAGCTTATAGGTTAATATTATAGACTACACACGTTCCCCCCAATCCCTTGTCTAGTAAATTTTTTTAACAGACTGGCCAGCAGCCTGGCTCAGTCCTGACTCATGATGGGTCCGGGACCTACCCCTGCTGCGAATCTGCATTTAATGTGTATTAGGGGCTAAGCGGGCAGGCAGCCCAGCTCAGTTCTGGCTCGCACTAGGTCTTGGAGCTCTGTGTCAGAGGTAGCAGCATGGGGCAACAGACAGCCAGTCTGCAAGGGGCGCTGGTTTTTAAACTGGCTCCCTTGCAGACCAGCTCCAACTTGGCACAGAGGCAGCAGTGCTAAGTGGCAAGGGGCTCCTCCGGAGAAGAGCTGGAGCACACTGGCTGCTGGCCCCACTCCTATGTACTATAGAATAGTCAAGTAACCGATAAGAATTCGTGAGGTTACTCGACTATTCAATTAACTGATTTTTAATATCCCTCATCTACACTAGGGAGCTATTTTGAAATTACTCCCTTTATTTTGAAGTAACAAGGTGAATATCCAGACTACCAAGCCTGTTATTTCAAAATAATGGGCTTGCTATTTTGAAATAACTTCTGCTTTTGAAGAGGAATAAGCTCATTCCAAAATAGTTATTTCGGGAGTTATACTTTTTTATACTTTTTCTGTTTTGGACCCATGTCCTCTTCTTTCTGGAGCATGACATCCTGTGACAGTAGCAGTTCTTCAGGCAACTCCTGCTCTGTCAGCTCCTTGGTGACAGTTGGGCCATTATTTTTCTTATACTGTGACATAGGGGAGGGAGAAAGAGAAGAGGAGATCTAAGGTAGGTGGCTCGTCTTCATGGAGTGTGATAACATGACACTATCCTGCATTAACACAATCACTTGTTCACAATTGAACTGACAGTTCAGTCTCATTTGGCACCAAGCCTTAGGTAGCTGCCCTGTCTCACTGGCATTATATTGACATGCTAGGATGGAATCTTCTAGACTGGTGTGACATTCTGACTCACCTGAGGCATTGTGATCCAAATTAAGAAAGAAAAAAAAATCAGCAAAGGGTTAAGAGTCAAACACTTCTTGAGAGCTTATCCTGGCTCTGCTTTTTTCAAGTCATTTCATCTCCTGACCTCAGTATCCAACCCCACAATCTGTAAATTGAGAAAAATACTTCCTCATAGGAATGAGACAATTCATTAGTTAACATCTCAACGGTACTTCAAGAAAAGTAATGATACTTGTACAGGATTAGGTTATTTGCCATCCATGGACTAAGTAAGGTGTGCAGTGGCAGATCTTTGCGTCACTATGGCTAAATCTAGACTACATTCCTCCTTTGACCGAGGAATGTAAATGAAGGATTTCAAAATATCAAATGAAGTGCTGACTTACAAATTTAATGCTTCATTGGCATAATGGATTCCGATCGCTTTTTTGAAAAAAAAAAAAGGGGGTCTAAATGCAATTCTTTCAAAAAAAAAAAAAACTTTTTCAAAAGAACCCTAATGCCTGAAAAAATGAGATTTACAGGTTCTTTCAAAAAAGGTTTTTTTTCAAAAGAGCTGCATCTAGACCGTTTTTTTCCCGAAAAAGCGATTGGAATCCATTATGCAAATGAAGTGCAAAATGTGTAAATCGGTGCTTTATTTGCAATTTCAAAGTCCTCCATTTACATTCCTCTATCGAAAGAGGAATGTAGTCTAGACGTAGCCTATGACTGAATAATA